AACAGATAACATCCTGAATTTTAAATTTTAAATGCTTATTCAAAGTTCTTAGGTCCAATATGGGCCATTTTCCTCCCCTGTTCTTATCAATTGCAAAATACCTTGAGAAGAAAACTTCCCGGTCTTTACCCAATGTTCTCTGGGAGACTGAGAAGGGTTCTTTCCCCATTGTTAACCTTGTCTCCTGGATTGAGATTGCTAAGTATAAGGCAGCCTATAACCCTGCTGCTGCAGCAAGGGGGTTTGGTTCCTATAACTGGAGATACAATAGGATCTCTGCTGCTGGTATCTACAGGTATATCTTGAGAAATACCTTTGCTTATACACTGGTGTTGAGTTACATGTTATGCCCAGTGACTTGGCTGTTATCTTGTTCTTCCTAATGTGGTCCAAAACCGTATCAGTTTGGTCATTAAAAAGGTCTTGACCTTCAAATGGGAGGTCTTCTATTTTTGCCCTTGTATCTTGTGGGAGGGCTGATGAGCATAGCCATGAGTGCCTTCGCATGACAATGCCAGAGGCCATAGATCTGCTTTTGCAGTCAGCTACGTGCTGGTCTACATCAAGCTGCTGCTTGCCTAACTTTTGGCCTTCTGAAATTAGGATCTTAGCTATGCTTTGTTTATCCTCAGGCAATAATTTTACAAATTGTCATCTTTTCCCACAGTAGCATTTGGTAGTGGCCCATGACTGCTATGAAGTTTGCCACCCTCAGTCCCATTGCCCAGGATGCATAGATCCTTCGGAAGTCCAAGCTTCTGCCTTCTTTATCTAGTGGCGATGAGTGGTTGCCAGCTCTTCCTTTTGCAGGGCGGACTTCTGATACAAAAGAGTTCACTTGGTGGTGGTGAAGCAAGTAGTCACAACCTTCCTCTCTAATCTTGTACAAATTCTTTAGCTTTTTTGCGGAGGCAGGAGCCGAAGCTGGTTTTGCCCGATTGGCCTTCGGTTCAGAGTGAGACTGTCCAACACCTGAGCAACAGTGATCTGGACGGGCTATGGTGGGAGCGTTTGGCCCTTTTCTTAGCCTTTTTCAGAGGTGGCTCCAATGCCAATCTCAGAATCAATGGCTGGCTTTGCGTTTCCAGTACGAATTGTGTTGGTGCCTATGTTACCAGGCTCTTGCTCCTGTGTCCCATCAGAGCCCGTTTTCTCCTGTGCGGTTCTGTGGGACCCGGGGTTTTCTTCCATAGTGCAGCTTTGAGTCTCACCACTCTAACCTCTTGGGCTTTAGGGGTAATCCTGCAGCAGGTTGGGCAGGATACTGTATAGTGGCCCTCTCCCAAGCACAGAAGACACAAAATGTGGTCATAATTTTGGGCCATTTTCTCCCTGCAATCCTCACATTTTTTGAAGAGAGCCCTCCTACCCACTCTTCTGGATGAGTCTTTAAATTATTCCTCTCTGGGGACCTCACTGGAACTACTTTGTGGGCCTCCAACAAGCAGCTCAAGGAAGCAAGTCCTCTCCTCACGGTGGCAAGAACTAAGGGAGGAGTGCTCTCCCTGCCTCTGTCACGTGTCACAAGTCAGCCAGGGCTCAGTGACAGCAAGGACTCCTCATGAGAAGAGGACTCCTCAGAAGAAGAACAGCCCTGTGCAGCCAGCCTTGAGTTAATGGAAGTTGACCAGCAGGAAAATGAGCTGCAGGTTTGTCAAGATGCACAGCCAACAGCTGGTGCAGAACCATCAACATCCTCCAGCTCTGATTCAGCAGCTGAACCTCAGTTGACCATTCCCAGCCCACCAGTATCACCTATACCCTTAGAGCACCGCAAATGGAGACTGAGAACAGAGCTAGAGTCAAGACGACAAAGTGCATGCCTCCTGGCCTGATGCCAGCTGCTTGCTGAAATGAAGATGAGTAGTTGCCGGATTGCTTCTGAGCAACCGGTTGCAAGCATGACCCTTAGGCATAGGGCTACAAAATCAGCCAAGAGAGACTGTTAGGCCTGGACGAAATGTGTATGATAGACACTAAGACACCGACTCTGCCTAGCTTGACTTCTGGACCTCTGACCTTGGACTGAATGATTCTGCTTTGCCTGACTTCTAGATCCCTGACCTTGAACTGAACAACTCTGCATTGCCTGACTTCTGGCACCTGATACGCAAAGCCTGCAAGCCAGTACACCACATGACAATTTGGGCAGGAAAAGGACAGAGGGGAGGGGGGAGCACTTTTTAAAAAATGCAAATTGGGAATTCGGAGAACCTGGTAAGCCTATCATATAACAATATATCGATATAACAATAAATGTAAACCTCCCTGGCGGGGAGGACCACTTCCAGTGTATTGTGTAGTGGGTTGACTGCATGGCTAGGCCTTGCAGCTCCACTAACTTGCTGCACGCTTGACTCTTACACAACTAAGACAAAGACAAACGGCCAGGAGGCCAACTATATATATATCCAGGGGACACCCCTGGATCCCATTGGGGGGTTTGAATCTCCCTCCCATGTTTCTATTGGCTCCCTGTTGGAGAGACCAGGAGCCCAGTTCCCATTGTTCACCCAGGGTCAAGCTCTGGGTAATCGCTGGCCCCTGGTGGCGGTCAGCGGACACAACACAGTGCCAGAAAAAAGCAGCTCATATGGTTCATGAGCAGATGGGGCGTGGAGCTGTTAACCTTTTAGGCTTACCTATGCAAAGACAGGCAGGCATGAGAAGTGCTGTGATGTCACCAAAGACAACAGCAGCCTCCCTTGAAAATCCTGATTATTTAAGGCACATCTGGATTATTTAAGGCACTGACTCCACAACTGTAAAAATGCAGAGGGAAGGCAGACATGCAAAAGAACCATGCCCAAACTAATTACAGTGCTTGTGGATTGGGTGCCAAGAAAATCAGAAATAAGTTGAGTGTGCAGAAAAGCCCTGATTGTACAGTTGGTTGTTTTTCTCTTCTTTTCAGCATATAAATTTGTTCATGGAGAAAGCAAAACTCCACCATGTGCCTGGGAAGCAGTTGGTATGTAAAAACACGGTATGTAAAAACACGGCATGCAAAAGCGGTCAGTGCCATTACTGAACTGCTTTCCTGCACCAGGTTTGAGTCTGGACATCATCATTATTGTTTCCATCCCGTGAACCCAGTAGTGAAAAGCCAGGGCCTGGTGAATCATGTCATGAATCGTGTCATACCTCCTGAGAGCCTATTTAGAGGATCCTAGTTTGGAAATAATTCAGATAGTTGATTATTTCTGAACTCTCACTGACTAAAGAATCCAGAAGATATATATTATTGTGGATCAGGGTCAAGATAGCGTATTTGCGCTTACTTCTGCATCAGCAAACCTTATAAACCTCTTATCCTATGTAGCATCTGAAACTGATACACAATATGTGCTCTTCCAATCCATTTCCTTAATTTTATCTTGTTTCTTGTCAACCCATCCCCAGTTATTTTATTCTCCTAAAGGTGAAGGCCACATCCAACTGAAACCAATGTTAAATCTTGCACTAAATCACAGTGGTATACATAGCAGCACTTTCCTATGAATTATCTGCAAAACTGGCGGAGAGATTTATCTCTTAAGGCAAACATAGCAGACCTCTGATGCTACCTTAAATTTCCTCAGTGTTACTATAGTAGACAGAAAATACTTCTTTTTATCAGTCAAGGAAAGTCAGATGCTAAGTGTTGGACAAGTGTCAACTCACCAGGGTCCCAGTCATAGTATTCATGGTGTAAGAAACTCTCCCTTTTTTACCCCTTCTTGAATCTGGATTCTCCAGCAGAGCAATGCCATTCCTATACCATTTGTATTTAGAGGCAGGAAAGCCTTCATTTTCCTTACATCGTAGTTCAATGACTGTTCCACTCATAGCTGAGCTGGGTACCACACAAACAGGAAGAGCTGGTGGGACTGGAAAGTGAAATAATCTGTTTTTTAAAAGTATCTGTACAGTTAAACATTGCATATCTGCACACAAGTGGTTCTAATGAGATTACCTGACTTGAGCAGGCACCGTTCACGTACCACTAAAGCGTAACGTAAGCCTGAACATGCATAAATTCTTAAATCTTAATTTTTGTGTTACATTGAATATCATTTTAATTAAGATCATTCACCGTTCACATATCACTGAAGCTTAACGTAAGCCTGAACATGCATAAATTCTTAAATCTTCATTTTCGTGTTACATTGAATATCATTTTAATTAAGATCATTCCTTTTCAAATGGAAACATTCAGTTGAGAACAGCAGAATGATACAAAAATTATTTCATATTAAGTATTACATATAATACTATGGTATTCCATCAGTTAATCAAATGGCAAACAGTTTCAAAACTGAATTATTTAGGAGGGCATTTTTACAAAGAGATTTATTATAAGAGAATTGGCTCAGGAAAAATGCTTTAATAAAGGTAAAGAGACTGTGGACTATACTAGTCTGTATACTACAAGATAGCCCAATCTCATCACATCTCAAAAGCTAAGCAGGGTTGGCCCTGGTCAGTATTTAGATGGGAGACCACCAAGGAATACCAGGGTCACTATGCTGAGGCAGGCAATAACAAACCACCTCTGAACATCTCTTGCCTTGAAAACCCTACAGGGTCACTATAAGTCAACTGTGACTTGATGGCAATAAGAAAAAAACACAGTACATACTATTTATATATAATGTGTATTATGTATACCAGATGTATTATTCTACTGTGTAATTTCTGCATTATTTTAATATGCCATGTTAATACCTATGCTTTTTTCAGCTTTGTTACAGGGTTGTTAGCAGATGAACTAAATATTTGCTTTTATGTATTTATGTACACAGTGCCATGGACTGTGACTATGACTCTCTATGGGTTTGGGAAAGATGTGTGCTAACTGCCTCACCTGAGAGATGCTCTGCCTGCACTTTATGCTAATGAGGTTTGCACTCACACAGCCCCAGGCTGAGGAAGAAGAAAGCATCGCCATTGTGGGTCAGCACAAATGACAACATTTATGGTTTCAGCCACCATGCATGAACTGTAAGGAGACACGTAACCCTTGGTATCTGGTTTGCATCCAAAAAGACCGTTTCCTGCCAAATGGTCGTTTTATGGCTTGGGACCAGGCTACATCCATCTACACATCAATGGTTGCCTTGGCATCATCTTCACACCTTGACCAGATGCATCTCCTGAGTTAAAGGTTTAGATTTCAATATTGCCCACTCCTCCTAGGTAGGCACATCATTGCCTAATACCCAATAGTGTTAGTTCTTGGGACGGACCACAGGTGGGAAGGACAAGGAGGATAGAACCAATGCCAGCCCCCAAGAGCCCCCCTATATAAAGTGAGGTTCAACAGTTTGAACCCCGCTAGCCATCTTCTCTCTTAAGCTATTTACTTACAGCCCTGCTGTACAAGTAACTTTTGTTCTTACTAACCTCATGGACTGCAGCCACAAAGGTCCACACGTGTTTGGCAGGTTCCAACCGTGTGCATATAGATTTCCTATAGTTATTCTAGTCTTATTCCTGTATTCTTCATTGAGAAGGTCAAGCTTCGGATCAGATAAGTATTTGCTACTCCCCTTTCCCATCCTTTAGTATAAAAGTGACGATTTCCTACTCTTGTAACCCTGAGGAACTTGTGTGATTGTGCGTGTGATTCCGGTTTTGTATGTATGTAAACCAAATGTTACTACTTAGTAAAAAGAACAACTTGATTTCAAGGTACTAGGCCCGTCTCCGTCAATAACACTGGGAAATTCCTTGGGTCGGTTTTGGACTTCTGTATACACAGGCGAAGGGACCCCAAACATTTAGTCTGGCCTCTGCTGTAGATAAAGCAGTTCGGCTAACAGGGTTGTTTTTTTTAAAACTTAAATTCTGCATGCTAATTCTATTATATTATGTATTGGCTGCCCCATCCTATTGACTACATTGACTTACACTTGGTAATCTGCCTTGAGTTTCAGTGAGAAAGGCAGACTATAAATAACATAAATGAACAAACCATAATGTGGGGAAGTCAACACCAATCAGTAAAGCCACCAAATAAGACTGTCCATAAAGAAGCAGGTTATGTAGAAAAATATGATTCCCTCTTCTATTCTGTGTGTGTAAAAATAAACCCATTGCAATGAGAACTAAACACATGTGCTGCCTTCATGTTGCCAGGCAGGTCAAACCCTCACTCTGCTGATCAGCTGACTCTTGCTCCTGTTCAGCCTACAATCAACAAGGCAGGGAAAATGCCTGCCTGTGCTGGGCTTAGGGAGCAAGTGAGGAGCAAGCTCTTCACTTCCTGTATAACCTCAGCAATTGTCTTACATAGTTTCAGAGTTTTAAAAGGTGCACTGTGTCCCAGCAGGGCATACAAAACTCACCAAAGTCCTACTGAAAAACTGCCATATAGTGGCAGGAGTAAGCTCAGAGCAATCAGCAACTTCTGCCATTGGTCAAGTTCAAAAAGCATATCCATATTACATATTTTAGTTAAAACCACAAATAGTTTTGTTTAGATCCCTACCCAGCACTGAAAGAGAAACTTCGGTCTCTGCTGCATCTTGTCCTTGTTCTGTGGCTGCACTGATTTCACAGCGGTACCTCCCAGCATCATGTCTAGTCACATTTCTAAGTCGAATGCTTGAATTCCACATTTCAGCTCGACCTGTAAAATTACCTTTTTAAATAAAAGAAAAATACAGAGGGAGATATGAGTAAAAAAAAGATTCTCCAGAGATAAAGAACAGATTCCTTCCCAAATGCACAACAAATTGCCAAAAGCAGCTTGTTTTTCCAGCATTTAAATTCTTGACTGACTATTAACACAAGGATATTTATTATTCTCCAAAGCTCCTCCAACTTTATTGTTCTAGATCAAACAGCTTAGCAAGGAACATTGGGAAAATACAGGACAAGCAAATCTAAACTAGATGAAAGCCACTTATGCACATACACATATGTACAAGTGTGACTGAAGGGCGGTTCCCACATATGAGTTGCTTATTCTCTCAACATGATTTTCCTGTGTACGGGGCCAGATAAAAAGTCCAAGCTGTGCAAAGATTCACAGAAACAGCCACAGCAGTAGGCTTTGTACCAGATGCCTCAATCATGGAAATGTTTGCCAGCAGTGCAAACTGAATTTACACGCAGCCAGTATCTGCATACATCCTATGCACTGAGGTTTAACAGTATAATCCTGTACATGGAACATTTCAACATACAGAAAGCAAGCCAGCACCTATGATTAAACTTGCATACAAATGCAGACTTAGAATTTACTTACCTACAAAGGTACGGTTATAGTAAACAAACGAAACACCCGATGATCTAACTTTCTTCCATTCTATTCTTAGATTGGTTACCTTCTTTGCTTTGTGTATACAGCTTAAAATTGCCTCTGCAGGAAACAAAAATAGGCAATTGTTTCTGCTCCGTGGTTAACAGAGATTAAGATTATACAGTGACAACAACTGCCAATTCTCAGTTTAAATTTTGTATACCACTACAGATAAGAACATAAGAACCTCAGAGAAGCCAATGCTGGACCAGGCCAATGGCCCACCCAGTCCAACACTCTGTCACACAGTGGCCAAAAATACCAGGTGCCATCAGGAGGTCCATCAGTGGGGCCAGGACACTAGAAGCT